GTTTTTTTAAGAAATCTTTCTGATTTCATGAAATCAATTAATATCACACTGATAGTCCTTTTTAAGACTATAATTTGCAGTAAATTGTATTCTGTCAATGCATAAAAAAGTTTATATATTGTTATTTGTTGAACGTATATTCATCGTTGATCCCAATATTTTCCATTAGCTTGGTCACGGCTTATTTATCATTATTAGCTTTCCAGACCACTCCACTATCTATATTATATTTATATCCATCTATATACATTGCTTGTCTGTCTGTCTGTCTGTTTGTATCCAATAAACGTCTAAACGGCTGAACCGATTGGGCCCAAATTTTGTGTGGGACCTCGCGTGACCCCAGGGAAGGTTTATGGATGATTTATTTTCAAAAATTTGCATCTAAATAAATTCAAATTTTAAAAATTTTGAAAATCCAAGAAATTATTTTGAAAAAATCCACGAAATTTTGATTTGTTTTTGTTTTACAATGTACACAAAGAAAGCATGTTCACAAATGAAATAAGAGATGGGCGTGATTGTTATTTTGCCTGTCTATTTGTTAGTTTATATCAAATAAACTTCAATTAAAATGACTAAATCAATCAAGCACAACTTTTTTAAGACGTCAAATTTGCCCTGCGAGTGTTTGTCGCTTGTCAAAACACTTTTTTTTACAGAACAATGGTGAGTCTTGTTCTTTTCTTGGCAAGTGTTTACGAAAATGTTATTATTCTTCTTAATTAATTTGATCAAACAGTATTATTTATTCTGCTATGGTACTCAATAAATGTATACTTTTACATTTTTATTTTCCAAATTATTATATTTTCCCTAATATTTTAAAAGTACATTTATTGCTTCTATAAGATAAAAATACATGATAAATAATGAGTGTATAAAAAAAGATGAGGTTCTAAGATCCGACGCTACTGATTTGCGGATTTCATAATCCTCTTTCTTGGATTTCATTCTTTACAATATGTATTTTATGTAATATCTATAGGATGATTTACATTACAGTAGATTTCACATTGCTTTTAATAAAGGGGATTCGCTGCACAGCCCTCCCAAAACACTTTGAGGAATAAATGACCCATACCAAATTCAATATTATTTTTTTCAATGCTAAAAGGCACAAAATAACATTCAGTTGTCAGAAATTAGTATTGATATTATCATTGAGTCTTTTTCACAAACTCTGCTTTTCTAATCTTTATGTCTTTTAAACCGGCCAAATGTTTTAGATAGGGTGATTTTTTAATGTTGTAGACCTTAAATATTTATACTATCAGCATGTAAAGCAATGTTTAGGGATTAAAAAGTTTGACTTTGACGCAAAGACTCAATTCCAAAAAGATTGGGTTTTGTTTTGGCTGGAAACTAATGTGGTAATTTCTGACAAAGCAATTGATGCAATAAATCATAACTCATGAATCTGCAATTTCTGATAAGATCACACATCAGGTTATCTCCCTATTTGGATCTAACCTTTATATGATCACTTATCTTTGCAATCTGATAACATCATACATCGGGTCATCTTCCAAGTTGGATCTAACCTTTATATGATCACTTATCTTTGCACGCTGATAACACCCTCAGTAATAAACAATTAGGCATTGCACATACATTTATTTTCACATATCTTATAAATGAACATACAAATATATTATTACAGTTACATAACAGATTAGCAATTGATCATGATCTTTTTATTTGTTAAGATCACGATCATAATCAAATGAATAATAATGATCAATTGATCATGATCTTTTTACTTGTCAAGATCATGATCAAGATCAAATGAATAATAATGATCCATTGATCATGCTCTTTTTATTTGTTAAGATCATGATCAAGATCAAATAAATAATAATGATCAATTGATCATGATCTTTTTATTTGTTAAGATCATGATCAAGATCAAAGGTATAATAATGACACTATTTAGGATCATGAGCAGGATCTCTTGAGACCTCTGCAATCCTATTAAGCTTGGATCCCATCATCTTGAGGGAGGGATAAACCCTCTAATTATACCTCATAATTTAGGATCATGAGCAGGATCTCTTGAGACCTCTGCAATCCTATCAAGCTTGGGACACTCTCATCTTCCGCTGCATCCTTATCCTCTACATCTTTGGCTGCATCTTTAGCTGCATCTTCAGCTGCATCCTTAGCTGCATCCTTAGCTGAATCCTTGCTTCATCCTTAGCTTCATCCTTAGATGTATCTTCATCATATCCATTATCAGGTGTCAATCGGTATGCGGGGTTCATCATCATCTAATCTTCGTTGCTCATCTTCATGGAAGCTCGCTGTATCATTGTATGATAAAGTCCTGTATGCTGTATATCGTACAGGGCCCGGAACGTTAGTTTGTAGACGACTTGTATGTGTGTCTACTCTTCTAAGGTTCGGGCTGTACTGCATCAATCTTGTCTCTCCGATCTCTCATTGTATCTAGGGGACTGTTCACTCTTTTCTGGTTCAGTCAGGGATACAACACTAAATGCAAAACATTAAGTATATATATGTATCTGGACGTCAAAAGAATGTAGAAATTTTATTAAATTACTGCAGGACTAATGACCTTAATGTTTTCTAACCAAGGTTTTTTTACATTTAATATAAATTTTTTAGCTAGAAAATGTTTAAGAATGTCCTCTTCCAGAGAATTGGTCTGCTGTTTTCTGCTCAAAGATCTTTCTGATCTAAGGATTTTCGGAACAAAAATGTATCTTATTGTTAACGAAGGGTCTTCGTTAATGGTCGTTAATAATGGGTCCTTGTAATGGTCGTTAATTAATGTTCCTTGTTAACAATTGTCAAGGAAGGATCGTCGTTAACAGTGGCTGACAATCGTTGTTAATCGTCAAAAATTCAAAACGAGTCCCCTGTGTTTCCAACACGAGCTCCCTGTCTTACCAAAACGAGCTCCCTGTCTTACCAAAACGAGCTCCCTGTCTTACCAAAAAGAGCTCCCTGTGTTACCAAAACGAGCTCCCTGTCTTACCAAAAAGAGCTCCCTGTGTTACCAAAAAGAGCTCCCTGTGTTACCAAAACGAGCTCCCTGTGTTACCAAAACGAGCTCCCTGTGCTATCAAAACGACAAAATAAACTAAAACGTTAAAACTAAAGATTTCTCAAGTTCTCCGTTTTTTAATTTAAAAAACTACTTTTATAAAAAACTATCGTTTTTCTACCTCATTAACAAAATTAACAATAGGATCTTTGTTTTCAAAAAAAAAGTGAAAACGTTCCATCCATACCTCTACAGTATAACCACCATGAGTCAGGATATCTAGGTAAAGATGAATAAATTAATCCGTATGTCTGCATAAAAAGAGATCAGTGCTTGATCCCAAGATTTACAATACAAAAAATCTGACTTCTGAGCATGGGAACTTTCGTGTTGGATAAATAAACTCCTGATACCTTAATTATGATATTCACAGTGGACACTTTTGAATTTTACACCGAATCTACCTAATCTCTTGATTTAAGATATCTTCAATATCATTGTTCTCCTTTCGGTGGAACGCAAAATTTCTTGGCTCCTCATTGGCAGTTTAAAGAATTACAAAAGATCAAGATCAATCCTCGACCCCGATACATGAGCTCGATCTCTACGATTTAAGAATTCCTAGTTCTGATCAATTGAAAATATTCTTTCCTGGAAAGCTGTATGTATATATACATTGTAGGACGGTTTTCTTTTTTGGTCAGTCCTTTAAAAATAAGTCTAGACACCCTTCTTTAAAGGTTCTTATGCATGTATTGTTGAAGTGTATCAATTATCTAAACAATTCTACATTTTAACAATCATATTCTTTCTAAGCTAAACATATGTAATGACATGTGCGAAGTAGGGTTGTTAATCGGTCTTAAAAGCAAAGTAGGGTTGTTAATCGGTCTTAAAAACAATCGAAAAAACGGTTGTTAAAGATTTTCTACAACTAATAAACCTTTGTTAAAAAAAACAAGAGTTAAAACTAAATTAAACCACGTATAAACGACCTACCTTTGTTAACAAAATAACGCATTAAAAAATACTACTTTGTTTTTTAATTTATAATTTTTTTACGTCCTTAACAATTCATTTTTCAAAAAAGTTAATCCTAGTCCTCAGAGAAATTATTTTAGTAATGATTTAAATAATGATAAGTGTAAATATTTCTAATCTGAAAATTCTTATAGAATCGATTTATGATCATAATTTTAATATTTTAGATTGTAACAGATGAGTGGATGATAACTTATTATAGATTGTAACAGATGAGTGGATGAAATCTTATTATAGATTGTAAAACATGAGTGGATGATATCTTATTATAGATTGTAACAGATGAGTGGATGATAACTTATTGTAGATTGTAACAGATGAGTGGATGATATCTTATTATAGATTGTAACAGATGAGTGGATGATAACTTATTGTAGATTGTAACAAATGAGTGGATGATATCTTATTATAGATTGTAACAGATGAGTGGATGATAACTTATTGTAGATTGTAACAGATGAGTGGATGATATCTCATTATAGGTTGTAACAGATGAGTGGATGATGAGAAGGATTGTTCAATACCTAGAGCAGTAACATGCTTGCGTTTTCAAGGTATTATTCTCGCGGACCGCTTTCAAACTAATTATCATAATTGAGAAAGACCTAACCTTTAGAAGGTGTAAATATTTTTTAATTATTAGATATATAAAACCTTGATTTAAATATCCTTCTTCAACTAAATTAATAAACAATCAACAAATTGTAAAATTTTTCGTTCCTTTCTCCAGATGAATCTCCCTGGATTTACCGTAGGAAGTCGATTCGAAATCAAACCTAGACACAATGAAAGGAGAAGGTTTCTAACGGAAGGACAAATGGGGTGTAAGATTGAATGATATTCATTCATATTATTCAATAAATCTGATTCTCAAACTTTTAGTTGGAAAGACGACATTTTAAACTCTTTTCACATTGTTATATGCCTAAAAAGCTCAAAATATTGTAAATTTAAGTTCCTTTAAGATATAGTTTGCAAAAAGATATAAAACATTAATAATTATTCATGGGTTTTTTTCAGTTGTAGGCATGGTTTATTCAGTTCTAGGCATGGTTTCTGCAGTTGTAGTTGTGGTTGTAGTTGTAGTTGTAGTTGTAGATGTAGTTGTAGTTAAAGAGCTGGAGCCGGAGCTGGAGCTGGAGCTGGAGCTGGAGCTGGAGCTGGAGCTGGAGCTGGAGCTGGAGCTGGAGCTGGAGCTGGAGCTGGAGCTGGAGCTGGAGCTGGAGCTGGAGCTGGAGCTGGAGCTGGAGCTGGAGCTGGAGCTGGAGCTGGAGCTGGAGCTGGAGCTGGAGCTGGAGCTGGAGCTGAAGCTGGAGCTGGAGTTGGAGTTGTAGTTGGAGTTGAAGTTGGAGTTGTTGTAGTTATTTTTGTAGTTGAAGTCGTAGTTAAAGTTTTTATTGTTGTAATTGTAGTTTTTGCTGAGGTTGTTGTTTCTGGCCTTGTAGTTGGTAGCCTTGTTGTGGAAGCTGTGGTAACACCAAGAGTTGAACTTAAAAATTGTATTCGTACTTCAATGACATCTCTAAGCCAAAGTTTAAACCAGGAAAGTAATAACCTAGTTATGAATAAAGCTGATTAGAGCATAAAAATAAAACATAAGATCTAAAATCAAATTTTAAAAAATAGTTCTGACCTAATGCTATTCAAAGCTCCAGTATCCGAGTTGCCTACAGATGTATCACAAGATTCTAAATCTTCTTCTAGTGTTGGTCTAAACAATGGTTTTGACCTATTTATAATAGTTTTAAATTTTTATTTTTATTAATCATGTTAAACTCAATCAAATAGCAAATATTTACCGTCTTTTCTTAGTTTTTTTTTGATGAGTAGGTTTAAATTGTAAAATATATTATTTCTATTATGGCATTTTAAGTAAAGAAGCTAAAGTAAACTTTGACTGTAGTGTAGACCAGTTTAGTGGTCCTGTGTTCTGGACCCAGAACAGCTTCTGAGAAAAAGTCGACCCAAAGGGAAAGACAGATAAAATAGACTTTTAATTCAAAGAAAGTCTTTGTTTGGAAGAATTTTGAATGGTCCAACACTCAATAAAATTTCTTCTGACAGTATGGGATGAAATGCTTGATAATGATTGAAAATGGAATTTGATTTTTAGAATATCCAAATAAATAGTTACTAAATAAATAGTTACTAACTTGCCTTGTATGAATTGCAGTTAGACGATCTATAGTTGAGGGAACAAACTGGAGATTAAGGTTGTTTATATCATAGCCAACAGCGTTGGCAGATTTGTTTGCAGCCATCATTGCTAAATTAAATTTGAAGAGTATATAGCTCAATTTAGTAAGTTCAACTATTTTTACCAAAATTCAAGAAAACACATCCTGCTCCGTCTACTGCCATTCTCTGCAAAGTGGATCTTGCAACCCTTCCAGGCTATGAAGAGAGTAAATATTATAAGTAAAACCGGATAGATAAATAAAATCCTTTGCTTATTATATTAAAGTTGTGATATTGTTTAAACTTACCACAATATCGGGATTAAACCCAGATTGTAGTAAAGCAAAGTCCAATTTAAAGATGACCTGGTTTAAATCAAGCCTAAGTCTAGAAAATGCATTGGTTATGACATATTTTGTGTAGTTGGTTAATTCTACCTTTGTAAGAGATTTAATTCTTGAGCTGGAGGGATCCCAGGAACTGCTGGTGATGTGCTAGGCGATGCTGGAGTGCTAGAAGAAGATGAACTTGACATAGCTGGACTTGATATAGATGTTGGGCTTGGTAATAGAGATGTTGAGCTTGCTGATGAGGCACATGAAATGCATCTGCTTATTAGTGGAATTGTATCCCTTTCTGCTGTCCTACAGGCTGAAAATACTAAAAAAAAATTATTTAGATAAAGGAATTGAGTCTTTGTCCCAAACTCAGATTTTCTAAGCCGTATATATGCAACCTGATGATTTTAACCTTTAAAATTTCAACCTTAGATTATTTGGTCTAAGAAATATATAGTTTGAAATATTTAAGGTCTGTGACATTGGGTTGCAAAGATATAGAGATTAGACAATCACAATTTGTGGCAAAGACTTAATTCCTTTATAAAAATCTGAAAAACATAAATTTAAATTTTTACCAGTATTACAGTTAGCTCTTTCACTTGGCTGGTTTTTTGCACTACTATTAGCTGCTGTTAAGAAATTGCATTCTTGAACATTTTGTTTCAACTGCTGAAGTTTGCTGTCAGCAGTAGATACACAAATCTAAAATTAAAAATTTCTTCTGAAGATTCTTTTCGCGGAATTTTAGCATAAAAACATTCTACCTTTGCTGCCTGAGTTGATCCAGAAGGAATGAGCAGTTTGTTATATTCATCTCTAAAAATTAGGAATTTATAAAAATTAAGATTAGTATGCTAGTTTTTTTCGTTTTTTACTTTGAATGTGTGTCTTACAGGTTATTAAACTTTTTTCAGTAACAGGTAAATTTTATGCATTTTAGACAACTAGATGTTGAATTTATGAATCCTTGATGATAGTATTTATAAGATGATATTTTCTTAGAATTAAAACTAAAATATAAAATTACAAAGTTAAAGTAATAAGTTTAGCTTAAATTGCTACATTTATTAAATTTTAAATGTACTTTTTTTAAATGTAAAAATTGTATTTTTTTTAAATCCAATAGTTTTCAATTGAGGCTTAAATCATTGTAGATGAAAAACCTGTAGTTTGTTGAGGTAGTTTGACATGCTGTTATTCTGGAGATATCATCATCTGAAAGTGTATTTATGCATGCTTCTTTGATTTTAGCCTCACAGCTAATCAGCACATTCAACGTCACTGAAGAAACAGCAGCTACAGCTTTAAGTTTCTAATATTTAAATTTTAACAAGATGCTACCTCTAATCGGATCATTATCAGGTACAGTTTGCCCACTGCAAGTTAAATTAGATGAATTTCCACCAAGACTATTTATTAATCTGTCTAAGGGTATCATGAATTCATTACTTTTTCCATTCTTCAACCGCTTAACATTATTAGCAAGGATTGCCCTGTTGGCAATCATGAAAACATTCCTTACTTGGTTTCCCAATATTGCGGCCAAAGTGGCCAATTCCTAAAAAATAATCATATATTCATTGTACCCCCATTTTAGAATTAGGAGCACAACTACGTCTATGTCATTATTTTTTTTTATAAATTAATATTTTTTATATTTATTATATTGAAGGGTTCTATTTTTTATGAACTGCTGGATGTTTTAAATTGCAATTCTGATTTTTCATATTTTACCTTTACACATGTATCATTCACCATTCTTGTAGAAATTATCAAGGAAGTTGAATGCTTCCCACCTCTTCTGTTATTTATCTTTTCACCTTTTTTGTTTCTTTTGGCTTTATTTCTCTTCTTCATTTCTGTATTCTCCTTTTTGCTGGCTTTCTTTGTATTTTGGTTTTTACTTACTTTTTTTCTTAATAGTTTATGTTGATTTTTTTCTCTTTTTTTAATTCTGCTTTTGCCTGTTTTCTGGTTTCTTTTACTATTTTTCTGTTTTCCTTTCATTTCTTTTTTCTGCTGATTTTTGCCAGTTTTCTTGTTTCTTTTATTTTTTTCCCCTTTCATCTCTTGTTTTTGTAGATTTTTTCCTGATATCTTTTTTCTTCTGATCTTATTGTTTTTTCCTTTCTTCCGTTGATTTGATAGATTTTGACCTGTTTTTTTGTTTCTTTTATTACTCTTATTTTTTCTATTTGCTCCTTTTAAAGGTCTTTTACTTTCAGGTTTCTTTGAGACACCATTTTTAAGATCTTCCTGTAAGCTTGGCTGTATTTCCCTAGAATACCTTCCTAATACTTTTGATTCAGCTAGCTTTCCATTTTCATCCAGAAACCCTGCAGGATCTATACAGAATGATAAAATATTAAGTGTTCTTCCAATTAAAAAGAAAAAAAATGGAGCAATTATGAAAACATCAAAAGAAGTTAAAATCTAACCTTGTGCCTTGGATTCCTGGATGGCAATTAAGGAGAAGACAAAGAAGGTTCCTAGTATCCACATCAAAGCAAGGATATTTAAATCCTGAAAAAAAGAATTTGAGTCTTTGCCACAAACTCTGATTTTCTAATCCCTTTATGTTTTTAATCCAATGTCGTAAACCTTAGATATTTCAAACTATGAATTATGTTAGATAAAATAATCCAAGTTTGAAATATCAAAGGGTTACATCTTCCGATCGCAGAGATATAGGGATTGAGGCAAAAACTCATTTCCTTTGAGTTGAAAACTAATTTTCAAAATGCATACACAAGATCTTTGCTCTGGCACAGACCAGTATTTTCCTGACAATAGATATTTTGGTGTCAAACCTTATCGAAATCCGACGTATAGAAACAGCTACGTATAGCAACAAGGCGTATTTTCCGGGAGAACATTTTTTACATTTTTGAGAAATTAAACGTTTTTGTAAAACATTGTAGCGTATTATTATCATTATCATAATTTCTATTTTTTAACATACCCTAGACATTAAAGGAGCAAAATAGTTTAATATGTACATTTGTACTGCTCTCTATTGTGTTTAAGGTCCTCCAGATTTTATAATGTACTGACAACATAAATGAATGATTATAAGGTTATCCATAAAGATGCGTATTACTATAAAAAAAAAAATATTTTTAAAAAATGCTATATCTACAGTTTTATTTTTCGAAGAAAAAGTTTCTCAAAAGTATAAAAAAAAGTTTTCCAGTAATGCTAGTATGATTTCAAAAATTTCGTTTTACCATTGAAATGAAAGGATTTTATGAAAATTATATTTACTTTACACTGATTATTTAATTTCTCAAAATATAAAAAAAAAATGTTTTCCCGGAAAATACGCCTTGTTGCTATACGTAGCGGTTTCTATACGGTGGATTTCTACTCTTTCTATAAGGTTTGACTTCAGATATTTTCACTGCAATAGTTCAAGGAGGGTCTAAATACATATGAAATGTTAGCCAAAAATTAAATTAGTTAAATTTTCCATGTTCTTTGTTTACCTTACCTAATTTCTGATATCAATCAAACTTGGAATTTAGACAAGTTTCAATGTGGAAAATAATAGAAATGAATTAATGAATTAAAACAACCAACCGGATAAGCTGGGATATTTGAAATTTTGCCAAATAATGAGTGAATTCTCACTGGCAGGGAGAGAAAAAAAGCTGACAAGAAGGTAATCCAGGGAAGCGTTAACTTTACTATAGTAAAGGTAAAAGGGATTCTATTTGGATCAATTTTACGGATTTTGGCCATTATTTTTCCCAAATCAATTATTGGTGATATTTAAGTTGAAGTGCATTCCGGACCCCTTAGCCTGAGCTGAGGTTAGTGAATCTTGTTAAAAGTGTCCACATTGGATATTTCAGATTAAGTTATGACGATTAAAGGGACTGACCGGCTATGTAAGGTAATTGAACTGAGTATGCAGTGTTGTGGAAAACTTCTTTAGGATTCATTTGAGACATATTTCACTTTTTAAAGATCTGTAAATCCTGAGTTTGAGCGCAAATTCGACGTTCAAAACTCCTGATTTGGGGGTGGATACGCTTTCAGAATTAGTTTTTTTTTTTTTAATTATTAAATAACGACAACGAAAAATAAAGTAAAAATTATACAGTAATCTAATTAGATGGCTAGGAACATATTTCACAAAAGAAATTTGTCAATAAATCAATGCTAAAATCGAATATTTCGTTTTCATTATTATATTGAATTTATAATTTTCTTTGAATTTATTCGCAGATTTCTTCAAATTCTTTAAATGTCGTATAGAAAATCTGCGAACATCTATGTGAATAACGAGAAACTAGAATAATGAGATAATAGAAACTAATAATTGAACAAGTTTCCTTATTTTCGATGATAAGATTAATTTTTATTTTCTCAAAATGTTCCTAAACATGACGTCTGTAGTTTATTGTATAATATTTATACATTTTATGTCGTCGTTAATTAATAATTTTAAAAAAACTAATTCTGAAAGCGTATCCACCCCCAAATCAGGAGTTGTAAACGTCGAATTTACGCTCAAAATCAAGATTTACAGACTTTTAAAAAGTGAAATATGTCTCAAATGAATCCTAAAGAAGTTTTCCACAACACTGCGTCCTCAGTTCAACTACCTTACATAGACGGTCACTCCCTTTAAAGGTATCCAATTCTAAAGTTTTCAGCTCAGTTTCCTTTCAAAATAAGGGGATTTGCACTAAGAAGTGCATATTTTTATGGAACAAGTGTAACATTAAACAAGTTGTGTAATCCCTTTCACTTTTAGGATTTAAAAACTTGATATTTAAACCTTAAACAAACAAAAAAAGGGATGAAGCAAGGTAGTTGCATAAATAGAAGAGTAAACATTACAACTCTTTGAATACAAAAATATATGATATCAAATTTGTAAATAAAAGAATGTTTTTCTGCTATACCTGTTCTTGGAAGTACTTGTAGACTTAACTTACATTGAGCTTATATTAAGTTTTAGTTCCATTGTTGTATTAAGAAAACATCTGTATATTTGTATACCGTCTGTCAAATATTAATGTTTTAGTTTGGTGGTTAAAGTCAGGATGTGTCCTTGAAGTCATGTTTTCGAGTTTTTACTCACTCACAAGTGAATTTAGAAAAAAAAATAAAGTAGGACAGATTTTTGATTTACAAAATCTAAATTACAAACTCTGAGTCTGAGCTAGTTTGAGCTGCGGTTTAAATCTGTAAAAAAAACGGTTTCAATTACGGGCTGGCTTAAATCTTGAAAAATTAAATACAATTTTCAACCAACCATATTTGAGCTGCGGATTAAATTAAAGCCATGGCTCAAATTCTTTAAATTCGGCTTTATATCTCACTTCCTATGGCTAACTTTGACTTAGTCTTTTTTCAATCCATAAGGATTTAACTCTTTGTTCACAAATTGACAAAGCTTTGGAAATTTTTTGGGTTTTATCATACACAATTATACATGATGCCTTGAAACCCATTTTCCAGCGTTATGCATAGTTAGGAAAACAGTGTGCTGAAATATTAATCTTTTTAATTTGAATCTCTTCCTTTTCTCTATTATTTGATAGAAGTAGATAGTTGTTTTCTTGCCACCAGCCCTGGACTTACCAGAGAGCTGGATTTGTTTGGTTTCTTCAATCTGTATTCAATCACATATTGGTCTAGAATTGAGCTTTGTTTAAACTTGCAGAGTTCTCTTTTTTAATGCTCTCATCTAAAACGTAGGAGAACCAAATAGATAAATTGCTCTTTCAGTTCAGACCTTACTCTGCAGTGTACTTTGATATCCACTGTAGTCCCAATTAAACTATATGGCCGTCTTCAGTCCGTTATATGCCCCATTTATGCCTGTATTGTGTTTTTCCCTCTAAGCTAAGTCATTTTTAGACAATTGTATTTTAATGAAGTTCCCCCCCCCCCCTCTACTAGTATCTTGGGGGAGGGGGGAGTGGGGTTGTAGGAGGGAGGGACACGCAGACATGAGCCTCCTAGATTTTCTAGACAGACCAAGCCTACGCCATTCAGAAGAGCCTCCGCTATATAGCCAGGGGGGAGTGCAGAAGTCCTGAATTGGTAATCACTGCCACCCAAACGTGCTTTGCGGCATGCATACTCCTCAATTGGTAATAACCGCAAAATCTTGTTTTCGGAGATTTTAATTTAATGCATTTTAACACAGTTTTCAAAATCAATCGGGCTTTCATGAAATGCGTATTGGCTTAAACTAAATTTTAAATTTGTTTTCAGATTGGATTGGTCAACAAAAACTAAGAAATAAGGCAAAGTTTATAAAAGCTAAATCATAGATCCAATTTGGCAATTTAATTACTGCATTTTATGATTGGAATTAAGATACTAAAAGGTAGGGCTGCCTGTTTACTAAAAATTATATCGACCAGACCAAGGTAATATCTATCATCATTTAGAAGCTAGAGAGAACAAAAAATAAATAAAAATCGGGCTCATTGCAACCACTAATGAAAATTAATAATTAAGTTCAAAGGTTCCAAAACATAATTTTATTTCTAGCGCTTCATGTGGCATGAAGAATTTTTTTCATTTTTTTCAAAAAATATTTTATTTATAATTTATGTTGTTTATTGATTGTTTTGATTTGTAGCTGATATTGACTCATAAAGAGGTTTATAAGATTTAAGTTTTACAATAATACATTTCTTATTCAGTAAGGCGGCTATTTGGAAATTCATTTCTGAATTGAACTTAATTTAATTTGTTCTTATCTTTTATTTAAGCAATACCTTTCTTGGGAAATTTTTTTAGATTTAAATTATTTGTCAATGTCAAATTTTTGATTATCTTTATCTGATGAAATATTTCAAAAAAAGATTATAAATTAAATTACTTTTAGAATGTTTTCTCTAAACGTTTTCATTTTCGCGTAAAAAATATTTCAAGTATTATAAAAAACTTTACTAGTCATTCATAATTAGTCACTATTTATTATAATTGATTAATACTCTAGTACGTGAAAAAAAATCAGGGCAACAACTCATATTATCAAATATTCAGCGAGTCGGTTTTACAATTTATTATTATTATTTACACAAACACGAATAGAAATAAGAAAATACTATACGAATCAATAAGCATGAATAAAGATTATCCAGAGTTAGGGAGATCTCCAGGGGAACCTATTATTCAGGGAGCTGGTCTTCAACTGATCAGCATTCCTTGAGGTTCAAAAATTTCTTGGGAACCCTAAATTTCCGCTGTACCTATTCCCCACGCATTACATCGCGTATGTTATCATGTTGTTCTAAATATGTCAGTTCAGCTGTGTGGATCATTGTACGAGCACTAATGAAAACAAAACAAAATCCTTTATAAATGCAAAAAAAACTTCCAGAGTCATTTCTCCTTAAATTTGCTGATAAATATATTGTTGTATTTCATTTATTTAGAAATTCTTCGTGAAACGCTTTACTTGGATTTTTTGTTCTTTAAAATCTGCATGAGATAATTTCCATGTAAAATCTGTTTGTAAAATATGTTTACAAGTTGTTGGTAGTAGAACAGATAAACATTTATTGCATTCAATAAACTATGACGAGCAGGTGTGCAGCTTTGGATTTTTATTATAAACAAACTAGCTAAAGTGCCCATAGATAAAGATAGATTGCGCATAAGACGACATTTTTCATCTTAAAAGATATAAATGTACAGAGATGTTTAAAAGATATTCCTATTATATAGATTAACATATATAGGTCGGTTGTGAACATTGGCTGTTCTTATGTCATTGAGTACTTGTGGTGCACATGAGTTCTGTAGGGAGAAATTTAAGTTAGTATAGTTCTTCTCATGTCCTTTTTCAGTTCTCGTCAATATGAAATATTGCTCAGTGAAATATATTGTTGTTCAAATAGTTCCATTCCCGGAGTTATTTTACACTCTATTATGAAATCCATTAAAACACCAAACCAAATATGTGCATATATACACAGAGCGTCCCATATCCAATCTTTAACGCCAAAATACACATATAATACTGGAAAAATCTAGCATTTTCTGCAAGAAAAAATTCCTATTAGCCTTCTTAAATTTTTCAAAATGATTCATTCTTCTTAAATTTTCTGATTTGTCCCCCAAATCGTAAGTTAGACCCATTGACGCGGTCTAATTTGATGTGGAACACCCCTGTATGTGAGCGAAGTGCTGAAATGTCACCGATACACTTTTACTAAAATAAAATATAAAATAAATATATTTTCTTCAAAAAACTTTTGATTACAGTTTTGAAATAAAAACATTGAATAAAGAGAAAAAATCTACTAAACTACAGTGTACAAAAGTTTGAAAACCATTATCTATGTTTTTTGATACATTAATTTAGAAAGATTGCTTGTAGATTGATATCCCTGAGGCCGTTCCTTCCATAAACTACATTGGTCGACAACTTGACGTCTCCTATATTGGTCGTCAAGTGTACGGAGAAATTATCTATCTATCAGATAAGAAATTAGCATGAAACATCTAGCGGCCAACATATCGTCCCCCAAAGTACGTGAACTACACAACCACTATTTATAGAAAGAACTGACTCTGAGAATTTACAAAATCAACAAATAAGAATAATTAATGTCGTCTTAGTTAAATCAATGTTTTAACTGTAGACTGCGGTGTTTTCATAAATGAAATAAATTTATATTTCTTTCATTGGTTCTGCTTAGGGTTTCCAGCGAACGGAAACTTTCGTGGAAAAATGCGAATAAAAATAATTTCGCTGGGAAAAAAACTCCGCGAAAACCAGAAGTTTTTATGGTTGCAATAATTAATTGCACTAAAAAGCTTGTAGAATTCTGTGCTCTGAGAGCTCAGCATTAGAAGTTTTATTATACATATCATAATTAATAATTTCTCTTCCTTTACTTTCATAAATGTTTTATAAAAAGAATTTTTTTGGCGAATTTTTCTTTATGTTTTCGCGAAACGATTTCCCGTTTCGCTAAAACCAGTTCTGCTTAAGTTGCAATTCATTTCTTATAGGGAAACAACACTTGTAAATTATCATTTTTTATTGAAAAAATAAGGACATACTTGATCAGTTAAAAGAGGAAAGGGTACCATTGTGAATTGTACATGCCACTTGTTTTGTCCCACTTAATTTGTCCCCCTATTCGAGAAAACTTCGAGAAAACTTAGCTCAGTTGTATGCCCAACATCAGAATTAGTAATGTTACATCGTCTATACGAGACATCCCCCTCTACCGTCTGAGGCCGAATCTAAAGAATTTGATCCGCGGCTTAAATTTAAGCCACGGCTCAAATATGGCCGGTTGGTTCCACTTAAAATGGTATTTTTTTAAGATTTAAGTCTGCAGATCAATTGAAACAGGTTTTTGGGGGATTTGAGACGCGGCTTAAATTCATTAAATTCGGACACTGACCAACCAACTTTCCGATCTACGACAGCTGTTCAATTGAGGTAATGCCAACTTCTGGGCCGAGCGCTGTGGCTAGGACAGTTCAGTGGGCCACGCGCTGCGGCTAGTACTAACTTGGAGGTCAGGCACTGCAGTCACATGTCCAAGTAATACAACGTGCGAGTAGGTCAGGGGTGCAGTATAGCGGATATGCGTAGGTCGCAAAATACACCGTCCTTACTTTCAGTCCAAAAGTCGTCGTTATATTTCGTAGTTTTCAGGTTCTTCCTGTATTTTTCTGCATTTACTCTGCCTAATTCTTTTTAAGTATGTAAAGTGCCTTCTTCTTGAAATATTAATTAGAACCACTTTGAGAAATAGGCAACGAGTAAAAACGAAGGTGCAACATGAAGAAATCATTCAGAAATGTTTTATAAAAGGCGGCCGCTTGGTTGCACGAACTTATAATCTCTCTCACATCTATCTGCTATCAATTACAATGAATACAATTAACGATAGTGTAAGTAATTACAATGAATACAATTAACGATTGTGTTAGTATTATTAAAATATGTCTATATGTATGTTGCTTATAGCCGGCCAAACGGCTGGACCGATTGGGCTAAAGTTTTTTTGTGGACACTCATGGGTGGCCAGGGGGTGTTATAGGCTATTAAAAAATTCTAAATTTTTTTTCAAATTTTTATTCTTTTTTTCACGGGCAACGCCGGGCCCTTCAGCTATTTTCATCTTTAAGTGGATAAATTTGGAAAATGGTACACGTAAGGAAATAGGCAAATCAGATTGGGAAAAAGAATAAAATCTATTTTAGAGGAAGAATGGTTAAGTAAAAGTTTAGTTGGTAATGATTGATATTTGGGATGTAGAAAGACTTGGTTATTGGGAATTGGAATAGTTAAAGAGTCTTAAGAATTATTAGGAATAGGAATATATACTTGGGAGAAGTTTGTACAAAAGCAATGACATATTAGTAGTAAAAGATTAAAGATACTGATAGAATAATTTGGGATAAGTCAAATCAGGATAAGGGGGATATATAAGAGTTGGGATAAGTAAGACGACCTTTGATATAGAGGGTTAGCATTAATAGATAAAGACCGGATTCTATAACAGATGTTAACTTTACCAGGAAACTTGGTTTGAACTGTTATGTAAGAAGTTGGGAATATCGGGATAATAATGATAGTTAAAGATCGCAGAGTACTAAAAGCATAGAGAATAGAATATATATATATAGAGAGGAATTAACTAGAAAAAAGTGTAAAACGGCCATTTTGTTGTACTGTTTCCTTACTGCAGGTGTACTTCACATATTTGTGCTATATAACCTTTTGGGCCCTGGAACAACATTTTATACAAAAATTTTCTTGAAAATTATTTTATTTTCTGTAAGTCAATTCTCTGATAGCCTGTCATGCACACATGGAAAAAAATCAATCTAAAATTTTTTTTGTTCATTAAAAACATATTCCTATAAGTGTAGCCTGCAGGTAATCAAAGAGGGAAAGCCAATATTTTAGAAATATTCAAGATATCAACAATCAACATATGGTTCAACTTTTTTTCCACCAAAATTGAGGATGGAGATAAACTTAAAATTTTAAATTCATTTTACACAGTTGGACCCATAAAACTCTGGAAGAGAAGGTCGAAATTTAAATATGTTTCATGTTTGATGGGTTAGTTAAACTTGTAGCTTGAGTCTAAACACAGTTAAACAAACTTTTTTACTTTGTGTACCCATAAAGATCAACACCTATTTAATTTACAAGATTCTGGTGCTCCCTAAAATGTGTAACTGTAGAGTTTGGATGAAATTTTAGAGACAACTGACAGTACAGAATTAGTTTAGTCTTTCTCTTTACATTAATCTCCGTATGCTCGTTATTCCAAATCACCGAATGAATCATTATAGCAGGTAACATATTTAGGCCTAAATCAGATTATTAAAATTTTTGCAAATGTTATGATGAAAAAGTTTCAGGTCTTCATTAAAGTATCATCCTTTTGTGGGTAACCCTGTAATGTAGAATAATTGCATAATAAAAAACATGTAGAAAACAAAACTTTATTAACTTTAATTTAACATTTTATTTTACAGAAAACACTTCACTGGTTATTTTGTAAAATAAGTTTCGACAGCTTTGAACGTAATCTGTTTTTTTTTAGATTTTCATTTAGTAATTTTGCATGATGTTTCATACGATTACACGTATAACAGGATATCACCTGCTTCGTGAGTTCATATGCATGATTGTCCATTGTCTTAAAGCAATTTCCATGGACACTAACAAAATTGGTGATTATTTTTAAAATAAGATAGTCAACATAATACTGTTTGGTCAGCCAATTTTTTTCTTTCAGTTCAATTTCAATAATTTTTTCTGAAGTTTCAGTTATTTTTAACACAAATGGGCTTGGATATGTAAGAAAATTTCCAAAATCTCTGGTTTTTGTTAAAGTAATTGATTCAGGCTGGTTGAATTTAATGAAAGAAACACAAAGATTACAATTTAGTTTCCGTAATATTTGTTTAACCACGAATCCTGATACATACTCGACTACATTTGCTTTATATTCTGTAAAGGTTACATTTTTTATATCATCAACAGTAACATCATCAAAATTATAAATATCGCAAATATAATTAATTTTATCTTGGACAGATGGAACGAGGGCTAATTAATACATTTTCATTGTGGACAATGTTATTTGTAATCCCTAAAAGTAGTCTTCTATATGTATTTTTAAATTGCAATGGGGTTGGATTATTGTTTGCCCCAAAACGAGCTCTTATGAGACCAAAAAAATGTTCCAGGTTATCTTGTGATAATTTGTATGTTAACAAATAAGATAAGGAACCATTTACAACAGTTTCATTAAATATTTCTGTAACTGCTTCAATATTACAAATAATTCCAAGAAACCCAGCTTTACGGGAATTGTACTTCACTATATTTTTACCATCAAGACTTTGGAACCCAGAAATAAAGTTTTTGGTTCTTTTGAACACAGGGCTCCACATGTCTACATTAAGAGCACTTAAAGGAGACAGATACCCTATATAAGTAGGATATCTACTGTTCAGGAGGTCAAAAATATTGTTCATGAAGTAGCAAAACTCTTCAGTTGCTTCAGAGCCGGCAAACTGAGGAAGTTTTAAAACTTCTCTGCAAAATTTAAGACTTCTTCCTACTCTTTGTGAAAGTACTTGCACGGCTAAATTAACTTTCATTATCTGATTTTTGAAAAAAATATGTTTGTATGTCAACTTGTTACCACTAGCCCAAGCATTATGAACATTTTTGATGCAATGACACATATCATGGACAAAATGGATTGGACGTTCTTGCATATCTTCACAAATTTTAGTCTTTACAGTTTCTGAATCCAAGTCTGCTCCTAGTTTTTTCATCATAGAAAGTTGAACCTGTGGTGCATCGCAAACCACACTGACGATAGAAACTCCAATTTCGACCAGCTTTTGGACTGCCAATTGTACAAGATTTGCTCGCTCTGTAAATTAAGATATATTTAGAAGAAACGCACAATAAAACTTTTATGCAGGTTTATCCACACAAGGTAAAATTTCTATTAGGACTTTACCCTATCACGATGGGGAAAGGGGGACCACCCTGTCTCAACTATAAGGGCAAAATCATAGGGGGAGAAACAACCCCCCCCCCATCTATATTAGGCACAAGTAGCCCAATCAGGATAGGGGTTAAAATATCCCGATATTAATACAATTCTTTCAGTGTCATAAAAATTTTATCCTATGTGGATTGTGGGCAACCCTGTACATTTTCTGCGAAGAGCATCTTCATTGTTGCCCCTACTGAATTCCCATGTTTTTTGGGACACCCTGTATTTTAGCAATAAACTTTATCTTATCCTATCTTTTCTTATCTTTAAGATCATCTATCACTGTCATTCACCTTACAAACTATTTTCAAGATGACGTCTTTCAGTTGAAATCATTACTGGCGTTGGCCAATTTTGTTAAACTGGTTGTAGATAAAAATTTGTAAGCAAAAAATAAATCAAAAAAATATTTTCAACTATGAAAAGGAACTAGATATATTTTTCTAAGCTGTAGATACAATTGCATAAAAAAGCATAGATATTGTTAATGGGAAAATTCACAACAATTTGTGCTAATTTGATTTTCATGTTGTAAAATGTAATAGATTAATTACAATAACAGATAAGACATTAGATGTCGTCTTTACAAGATTTGGATACAACTCCTTCACAATAACTCTGAGGCAGAATCCCAGAGAAGTTTCGAGCAGTCGGCGTAGAACAGGCTCTCTTCATTTTTTATAATTCTACGCTGACTGCGCGAAACTCCTCTGGCTTCTCCCCCGGTTATTGTGAACGAGTTTCCTCAAAATCTTGAAAAGACGACATCTAGTGTCCTATCTGTTATTTTGATTAATCTATGTAAGATGTAAAAACCTTACAGTACACAATACATACAGCCTATAGAACCAATCATCATCTTCTAGGGAGACTAATGTGAAAGCCAAGAAAAAAAACTTTAAGAAAATTATTGTTTAAATAATAAGAATACTCCAGTAAATAATATTTATAAGTATAAAGCACACAGGAAATATTACTCTGCTGTAGGAATCCATCCTGAAAAGAAAATAAAAATTATAAAAACAAATATTCACTTTAAATTTTCTTTAATACCTGAGAATAGCATCAGTAGGATTAGTGTACAGACGAGATCGTCTTATCAGCTTCAAAATATTTAGTCTAAATATTTCAGTAGAAACGCATATATTGATAAATGAGTAGTTACAAATTTGAACGATGTTAATAAAAGATATGCCATAATTTGAGAGAAAACTTAAACGCTGGTTTTTGGCGAAGAGAGAGTTATATTGAAAAAAGATGTATTTGAACAGATTGAAGAAAGATGGATTGAAGAAAGATGGATTGAAGAAAGCAGGATTGAAGAGAGATGGATTGAAGAAAACAGAATTGAAGAGAGATGGATTGAAGAAAGATGGATTGAAGAAAGATGGATTGAAGAAAGATGGATTGAAGAAAGATGGATTGAAGAAAGATGGATTGCAGAAAGATGGATTGAAGAAAGCAGGATTGAAGAGAGATGGATTGAAGAAAGCAGGATTGAAGAGAGATGGATTGAAGAAAGATGGATTGAAGAGAGATGGATTGAAGAAAGATGGATTGAAGAGAGATGGGTTGAAGAAAGATGGATTGAAGAAAGATGGATTGAAGAAAGATGGATTGAAGAGAGGTGGATTGAAGAGAGATAGATTAAAGAGAGATGGATTGAAGAGAGGTGGATTGAAGAGAGATGGATTAAAGAGAGATGGATTAAAGAAAGATGGATTGAAGAGAGGTGGATTGAAGAGAGATGGATTAAAGAGAGATTGATTGAAGAGAGGTGGATTGAAGAGAGATGGATTAAAGAGAGATGGATTGAAGAGAGATGGGTTGAAGAAAGATGGATTGAAGAAAGATGAATTGAAGAAAGATGGATTGCAGAAAGGTGGGATGAAGAAAGCAGGATTGAAGAGAGATGGATTGAAGAAAGATGGATTGAAGATAGATGGATTAAAGAAAGATGGATTGAAGAGAGGTGGATTGAAGAGAGGTGGATTGAAGAGAGGTGGATTGAAGAGAGATGGATTGAAGAGAGATGGATTGAAGAGAGATGGATTGAAGAGAAATGGATTGAAGAAAGATGGATTGAAGAGAGATGGATTGAAGAAAGATGGATTGAAGAGAGGTGGATTGAAGAGAGATGGATTGAAGAGAGGTGGATTGAAGAGAGGTGGATTGAAGAGAGGTGGATTGAAGAGAGATGGATTGAAGAGAGATGGATTGAAGAAAGATGGATTGAAGAGAGGTGGATTGAAGAGAGATGGATTGAAGAGAGGTGGATTGAAGAGAGATGGATTGAAGAGAGATGGATTGAAGAGAGGTGGATTGAATGTAGCAAACATCGTAGCAATCCCTATATTTGTTAACCTAAATATGCCTGCCTATCTATATTACGTTGTACATTGTCTGTAAATCTAAATGTCCTTATTTTCAACTAAGTAACATGATTTACTTTACAGAGGTTTGGTCCATCACCATCGCCGAATTTTAAATGATTTAAACATGTATTGCGATTAGATTAAATACGTTTAGATCCATCTCCACTAATATTTAAACACGTACGTTAAAGCTTTAACTCCCCTGTAAACATGCATTAGGATAGATTAACTATGTTATATCAATCTGCACAAATCTTATCAATACGTACATTAAACATAGCTCTCTTAAATAAATTAGTTGATATAGAAACTCTGACTTGATTGCAGCCAGAGAGTAATCGGTTCTTTTTGAAACCTTTGAGTTGAGATCATGCCCATTGGTTTGGCATTGATAGATAAATATTTAGTGTCCGTATTGACATTAATAGCTGACGAGATCGCCCCCATTGGTTTGGCGTTGATAGAATACAGGCTAGTGTCAGGTTGACATTGATAGCTAAAAAAATCGCGCCCATTGGTTTGGCATTGATAGTTCACGGGATTGTGTCCGTGTGTTGACATTAAGTGAGATGGATTGAAGAGAGATGGATCGGAAAGAGATCGATTGAAAAGAGATGGATTAGAGAGAGGTGGATTGAAGAGAGACGGATTGAAGAGAGATGGATTGAAGAGAGACAGATTGAAAAAAGAGATGGATTGAAGAGAGATGGATTGAAAAGAGATGGATTAGAGAGAGGTGGATTGAAGAGAGATGGATTGAAGAGAGATGGATTGAAGAGAGATGGATTAAAGAGAGATGGATTGAAGGAGATGCATTGAAGAGAGATGGATTGAAGAGAGGTGAATTGAAAAGAGATGGATTGAAGAGAGATGGATTGAAGAGAGATGAATCGAAGAAAGATGTATTGAAGAACGATGGATTGAAGAGACATGGATTGGTGAGAGATGGATTAAAGAGAGATGGATTGAAGAGAGATGGATTTAAGAGAGATGGATTAAAGAGAGATGGATTAAAGAGAGATAGATTGAAGAGAAATAGATTGAAGAGAGATAGATTAAAGAGAGAAGGATTTAAAAGAGATGGATTGAAGAGAGATGGATTGAAGAGAGATGTATTGAAAAGAGATGGATTGAAGAGAGATGGATTAAAGAGAGATGGATTGAAGAGAGATGGATTGAAGAGAGACAGATTGAAAAGAGATGGATTGAAGAGAGATGGATTGAAGAGAGATGGATTAAAGAGAGATGGATTGAAGAGAGATAGATTGAGAGAGATGGATTGAAGAGAGATGGATTGAAGAGAGATGGATTGAAGAGAGATGGATTGAAGAGAGATGGATTGAAAAGAGATGGATGAAGAGAGATGGATTGAAGAGAGATGGATTTAAAAGAGATGGATTGAAGAGAAATAGATTTAAAAGAGATGGATTGAAGAGAGATGGATATAAAAGAGATGGATTGGAAATTGGTGGATACATTTCTAGATTATTATTTAATAGATTAATTCTTGTAAACCTGGAGAGAATTTCTAGAAAAATGTTCCAACATCTTGTCAAATCAGATTCAGAATCCAAATTTTCAGATAAGGATCTGGTCTCAATCTAAACATTTTCAATAAAAAGAGAAGAATATTACTGATTTTAATGAATTGTTTCAATACATTTTTTTTGAAAATAGAAAAATATGATTTAATTAATTTAATTTTAGGGAATGACAAAACTCATTTAAGTCATTTACAGCAAAGATGAAATTTTCAATTACATTTTCACGACGTAAAATGTCTTATTTGAGCACTGCCATGCTGCCAGTACTCAACGCTGTTAAAAGAGACATTATATGCTGCCAGTACTCAACACTGTTAAAAGAGAAATTATATGACCAATGAAACTCTGTTTACAAAGTCTCACGAAATGTTCATATTTTCGAAATGCACAAATCTTCTATCAGCAAACAGTACAGTGTTGTAATCTAAAATATGGTTTTACCTTATCAATATTCTCCAGAACGTACTCAATATCCATGGGAGAGGTGCTTACTATCTGAAATATTTTATATTAGTGAATATAAACTTATAAAATTAAAGAACAACCTTGCATACCATGAAACTAATCAATTTTAATCTAATAGAATGGTCGGAATAAGTAAAAATCATATTCTGCTTATGGGGAACATTAGTTCCAAAACTAACACTTGGCACAAATTGAAAGACTAGGTTTATGGGATCCCGGCCCATATCCAGAGTAAACCTCGATAATAAAAACCATAACCATGGGATCCCGGCCCATATCCAGAGTAAAAGTCGATAATAAAAACCATAACCATGGGATCCAAGCCCATGTCCAGAGTAAAAGTCGATAATAAAAACCACAACCATGGGATCCAAGTCGATAATAAAAACTATAACCATGGGATCCCGGCCCATATCCAGAGTAAAAGTCGATAATAAAAACTATAACCATGGGATCCCGGCCCATATCCAGAGTAAAAGTCGATAATAAAAACTATAACCATGGGATCCCGACCCATGTCCAGAGTAAAAGTCGATAATAAAAACCATAACCATGGGATCCAAGCCCATGTCCAGAGTAAAAGTCAATAATAAAAACTATAACCATGGGATCCCGGCCCATATCCAGAGTAAAAGTCGATAGTAAAAACTATAACCAACATTTTATAAAACTTGACGAGGACAACAATTCCTTATTTAAAACCTTTTTTTTAAATCAAATGTTTCATAGGAGTTCTTTTTATATTAAATCTCTTGACCGTTTTCAAGACAATGTCAGGTTTTACATTTTCGAACATATCCTGAATATGAAACATTGTCGCGTTTTCGAGACAAAACCAACTTTCCTGTTTTTGAGTTTAATCAACAATTCAAAACAAAACTCACTTAAAAAATAAATCACTGAAAACAAAAATTATCTTATGAATTATCTGAATTATTTCACATTTTATATGTTAAATTAGAGAATATCGATGATTTATTTTTAAGATACTTTGGGAGCAGTATCTTTAATACCTTGTCTAGGAGAGGAGCAGTATCTTTAACACCTTGTCTAGGAGAGGAGCAAGCAGTATCTTTACTACCTTGTCTAGGAGACGAGCAGTATCTTTACTACCTTGTCTAGGAGAGGAGTAGTTTCTTTACTACCTTGTCTAGGAGAGGAGCAGTATCTTTACTACCTTGTCTTGGAGAGGAGCAGTATCTTTACTACCTTGTTTACGAGAGGAGCAGTATCTTTACTACCTTGTCTAGGAGAGGAACAGTATCTTTACTACCTTGTTTGGATAGGAGCATTATTTTTACTACCTTTTTTAGGATAGGAGCAGTATTTTTACTACCTTGTTTAGGAGAGGAGCAGTATCTTTACTACCTTGTTTAGGAGAGGAGCAGTATCTTTACTACCTTGTTTAGGAGAGGAGCAGTATCTTTACTACCTTGTTTAGGAGAGGAGCAGTATTTTTACTACCTTGTTTAGGAGAGGAGCAGTATCTTTACTACCTTGTTTACGAGAGGAGCAGTATCTTTACTACCTTGTTTAGGAGAGGAGCAGTATCTTTACTACCTTGTTTAGGAGAGGAGCAGTATCTTTACTACCTTGTTTAGGAGAGGAGCAGTATCTTTATTATCAATATAATCATCATCAAGCGAAGGTACTGCCAGCAGAGGAAAGGTACAAGTTCTAGATGAAGAAAGACAAATCATTGATTTTTATAGTTTTAAAAATGTTCCTGCATATTTCTTGGATAATTTATTTATTTTTAAATTTACTGAGATTTAAGTGCAATAGCATAAAACCCATTGAAAAATTGTCAAGACGGCACTTTTTAAACAGTTCTGGGTAAAACTGTAGCAATTTCAAAAACATTTTTTCAATAGTTAAGAAAGTAATTGACTCTATAGTTGTGAGCCTAAATTTGAAAATTTAACTCAATTCTTTCTTTTATTTTTAACTTTTACCTCGTCATTTGTCGCAATGTTTTTACTCTGAGCAAAAAGTTTCATTTCGATGACGACATTTAAAGTTATTTTACAAATAATTGATTTCTAGTTCCTATAAAGAAAATTGAGTTTTTGCATTCATACTACTTTAAACTAAAAACTTATTAAATATCTACATTGATAAAATAAAAACTTTGGAATAGAAAGACGACTTTATGGCTCAAGTTATAACTTCAGTAGTCCTAGGAGCATGGGACACCAACAAACAGATTCATTTCACTTGATTAGTGATATAATAAGTGTAAAGTACAACCATTTGCTTTATAAAATATCAAATAAAATGAAGGATTGCTCTTCCTGTCTTCCTGTCTCAGAGTTATATGTGTATTACTGTAGCTCTGATTATCTATCTTTTCAATCATACTTCATATTTTCTCCTCAAACCAAATAAAACCCTTGGAAAGTCACAATTTCAAAAGAAAGCAGTGTGTGGACAATTTATTTTCTATTTTTCTTTTCATATTTCAAGTTGTAATTATTTGTGGCCTTTAAAAATATCAAAATATAGTTAAAACCTAATATTTAAAAATATCAAAATATAGTTAAAACCTAATATTTAAAAATATCAAAATATAGTTAAAACCTAATATTTAAAAATATCAAAATATAGTTAAAACCTAATATTTCAAAATATCAAAATATAGTTAAAACCTAATATTCAAAAATATTTTCTCAGGAAATCATTATCTTTTAAATTATAAAATTTCAATAAATAATTGTTTCTTGTGAAAATTATAAAATTGCCATCGACTGAAGGACCGACAATAATAATCCTAGAATGCGTTGAAATGAAAGGTTCCCTGATTAGATCACGTGAGCGCATCCTTGTGATGAATATGCTCAAGAAGTTTATCAAGGCGAACTCCAGAAAGGCGAGGAACACCATGACGAAGCACAAGATCACAAACACGTCCAGAGCTAGAACAACAATGTTCATCTAATTTCATCAAATATTGTGCCATACGATGACAAACCTTAGGTACATAACTGACATTTCACGGTACACAAAATAATATTATTATTTTTGGAACACCTTATTAATATTCAACTAAAAATTTATCACTCTTGTCCGAAAAAGTATTCAATACAGACCTACTTCTCAATGTTAGTTTATTTCATGGTATTACAACGGTTGTGAACTAGGTCTGGGCAATGTTCTGTTAACGAAAAGCAAGTTCTTGAAAACTAAAAGAATTGATTCCATTTACGGACGGCAAAACCCGTAAATTTTTAAATAGTTAAAAAACGAAAATAATCGATCATTGAAAAATAAAAAACTGATGGGTTTTGAAATTACGCCGATTTTCGTAAATGTCTATGCTTTACAGAAGATAACCTAGCGTGAGGCACTTTGTCAAATGCCTTTGCAAAGTCTAAATATACACCACATCAACTGAATGTCCTTGATCAATGTATTCATAAACTTTTTTTAAATACTGAAGCAAATTGATTAAACATGATTTTTTGGCCATAAAACCGTGTTGGGAATTAGAAATCAAATTGTTCTTTGTGAAATGTTCAACCAATGAGTCCTTAATAACTGATTCCATAATTTTACATATAATACAAGTTAAAGAAACTGGTTTATATTTACCAGGATTGAGCTTTGAACCTTTTTTAAAAATGGGTGTAACATTTGCACATTTCCATTTTTGGGGAACACTTCCCTCACTCATCGACTTTGAAAATAAAAAACACAGCGGAGAACAAAGTTCTTCTGAAATTTCAATCAGAAGGCTGGAATTAAATATCTGGCCCCGGAGCGAAAATTTTTTTTTTTAACCTCTGCTTAATAACTTCTGGGGCAAAAGTTACTGACTCAAGTCACGGAATTTCAGGTTTTAAATGTTCAATGTTCGACATATCTTTTATATCTTCAGTAGTAAAGCCCTTTTTTAATGATTTTGATGTTTTTAACGTCTTTCGACGTTTTTTGGATGTTGTCTTCATGTTTATTTTATGTTTTCAATTCCAGTTTTATCTGAAGACCAATATAATAGTCATCCTGAGGGTAGGCTTTAGGTAGACTTTTTTGAGTATTTAAAAAACCAAAAACACTGCGCCCATCACTACCTGTAACATATCCGCTGGTTGGCTGCTTATTCTTTCCTGTAAATCCAAACCCAACTGTAACAACAGCCAGGACAGTGGTGGATCCTAAACCGGTTCTAGCAGGGGTCTCCTGACCAGCTTCAGTCTTTACCTGAGGTCGGAATTAATGAAATGCGAGAACTAGTTGAACTTGTTTTTGTTAGGTAAACTACTTCTCCTGGCACAGAGTATAGCTTTTCATAAAATCCCACAACAGTTTATACAGATATTGTGTATTACATTTAGTGCGACTGAGCTTATATCTAGAATTTGTCATACTGATCTTTAAAGCGTCGAGGTACAGACTGATATTACTCTTTTTACCGCCGAACATTAGCATAGGGGGGGAACTTTAAAGGTAAGGAATATGTAATCATTTATTTATGCAATATAACAAAGACATGCAAAATTAAGTGTTTCAGGAGAAAAAAATGAAAAACTTCTAAAACTAGAGATTGTGGAAATATTTCCCCCCAATTCAGTTCAGCCTTTAGAGATATTATAACAACTATATTATTAAAATACATTTCAGAAAAGGAAACTTTTCAAGTGAAAATGCTAACAATTTAATGAATGTTTTTGAACAAATGACAGAAAGCCTTCAAAACATAGAAATTGAGTCAAGGCTCTTTAATTGTCTTTGCAAGAAACCAAAGTCATGCATATGCGATTGCAATTTGGAATTTATAGCCTCATTGTAGATTCATTCTTAAATTTCCATGTTTTTATGAGACATCCTGTATTTTACCAGCCAGAAGGAGACCCAAGAGCTCATCACAACAATAGTCAAAGGAACGTAAACCTTTAAAATACAAATATTTGAGTTTAACAGGATAAAGTCTTGATCTTGTGATCCTATCATATAAAGCTATGATGTATGTATGAAAGCATGTCATAGTTTTGTGCGTCCTCAATGTGCTTCGCAATAAAGCATTCCCAATAGTGTGTCCAAAATGTGCTTCTGAATAAGACATTCTTAATAGTGCGTCCTCAATGAGGCATCTTCAATGTGCGTCGTTAATATTTATGCATCTTATTTTAAATGAATATACAAATATGATTTATTTGGCTTAACATAGAATATTTAATCCACCCCCCCCCCCCTACCCTGAAGTAATCCCAAAAACTAAATGTATGTTTAACGTAAATTTGTGACATCCGTTCCCCCTTACCCTCAAAAAACCCAAAAACATAAAACCTACCTGAAGTACATAAAACCCAATAACTCGTTGAAAGTTGAAAGTAACAAATATAACAGAATGCTGTCCATTCCTAAAACATTTATTACATATAAAACTAAACCTCCAGTATAAACTAGTTACCTGAGTAATACTAAACCTCCAGTGTAAGCTAGGTACCTGAGTAATACTAAACCTCCAGTGTAAGCTAGGTACCTGAGTAATACTAAACCTCTAGTATAAACCAGGTACCTGAGTAAAACTAAACCTCTAGTATAAACTAGGTACCTGAGTGAAACTAAACCTCTAGTATAAACTAGGTGCCTGAGTGAAACTAAACCTCCAGAGCTGAAAACTTTAGAGTGGACGTCATCCACTTAATGGCTTAAACCACTCTTTTTCTTAATATCCAGTTTAAATATTGCTTGTTCTCCACATGAATTTAAACTCCAGAGAAGCTAACCCATCGGATATCTGGATATTTCATTCTAAAGTTTTCAGCTCAGTATAAACTAGGTACCTGAGTGAAACTAAACTCTAGTATAAACCAGGTACCTGAGTGAAACTAAACCTCTAGTATAAACCAGGTACCTGAGTAAAACTAAACCTCTAGTATAAACCAGGTACCTGAGAGAAACTAAACCTCCAGTATAAACTAGGTACCTGAGTGAAACTAAACCTCTAGTATAAACCAGGTACCAGAGTGAAACTAAACCTCTAGTATAAACCAGATACCTGAGTGAAACTAAATCTCTAGTATAAACCAGGTACCTGAGTGAAACTAAACTCTAGTATAAACCAGGTACCTGAGTAAAACTAAACCTCTAGTATAAACCAGGTACCTGAGTGAAACTAAACCTCTAGTATAAACCAGGTACCTGAGTGAAACTAAACCTCTAGTATAAACCAGGTACCTGAGTGAAACTAAATCTCTAGTATAAACTAGGTACCTGAGTGAAACTAAACTCTAGTATAAACCAGGTACCTGAGTGAAACTAAACCTTCAATATAAACTAGGTACCTGAGTGAAACTAAATCTCTAGTATAAACTAGGTACCTGAGTGAAACTAAACTCTAGTATAAACCAGGTACCTGAGTGAAACTAAACTCTAGTATGAACTAGATACCTCAGTGAAACTAAACCTCTAGTATAAACTAGATATCTGAGAGAAACTAAACCTCTAGTATAAACTAGATACCTGAGTGAAACTAAACTCTAGTATAAACTAGTCACCTGAGAGAACTATTTTTCTGTCCAACTGACCAGGAAACCAGGAGATACTGCGCTAATTCTAGAAACAACCCGGGATCAATTTTGTTTTTAAGGATTAGTAAATAAATATAAGATTTAAAAGGTTAAGGAAACAGGTTTTTTAACAATTTTTTGTTATTTATGAAATTGATATTTAAAATGTATTTGAGATTACGAATGTCAGAAGATGTAGTTTGATTACGACATAATAGTTTGCTACCATTATAAAACATTTCTTTTCAAGTCCTTCTCCTCAAAGAAAAGTCTCTCAATTAAAACTTTTTTAAATGGTTTTTATAAAGTTTACCATTTTCCCAATTCCTTCTGTTTTTGTTGTTAAAACACGGGAAATTTAAAAAAATTATATTTATAAAGTTAGAAAAGAAAATAGACACCTATTGTATCCTTTTCCATGGAAGCAGCAGACTCAGACCAATGGTAAACAAGTTCGTTTACATCATGTCCGAAACTACCTTTATAAAAACTAGAGTAATGGCTCGTATCTTCAACTTCTAAACTAGGTTTTTTTAGAAACTAAAGTTGGAAACGTTTAAATGGTGAAAAAGGAGTTGAACATATTCTTAAAATTAAAAGCAGTGTCTGATTAAGAATGTCTGAGATGAGATACCTATTATCATCTCTTTGAAAATGGATTATATTTGATTGTGGTTTCTCTATAAATTACTTAAGCATTTCTGCTTCAAAAACGATGGAGGAAAATTAAGAAATTAATATATTGTAACATTATTTTCTGAGTACAGAGGAAAAATAATAACTTAACCTTTACTAAACGAATAAATATTTGATTTTAAAAAAGTATTCTAAGTTGTATTCTAGAATGGTTCTAGATTAAATTTTTCTAGGTTGAAGTATTCTAGGTTAAAGTATTCTAGGATGAAATTTTCATAATTTCACAATTAATTACATTTCAATTTGATGCTAAGAAAAACGTCTATATACTAGATATTCCCCATTATTATTCAGGATTTGAAGGTTCTATATCAGGCATTAAATATAAGGTTACTTGAAACTATATCCACAATCCCTTAAAATATCAGGCTTACACCTGCACAAAAAGCGTGAAATGTGAATCAAATTATAATATTAATTTTATAATTTTAATAAGTAAAAACGGAAAGCAGGAGAAATGTTTTAAAACATAATTTTTAATTTGCATATTTTCTTATAGTTTAAATGTAGGATCTAAAAAATTAGTGAACTGTCCCTTTAAGAATTAACGATAAACCTATTTCTAGCGGACAGGCCTGGCGGTCTAGAGGGAATTTTTTCAGGTCCATCGCGCAGGTTGCGGTCACTGTTAGTCTCTGGGAGTAGGAGATCCGACCCTCAGGGGATATACGGATAAACCGGTTTGGTACTGCAACCTTTAAAAATTGAAAGCAATGTCAGATGGAATAGAATTTGATCCGCGGTTTAAATCTGCCCAAACCCGGCTTAAATTAAGCGCGGGATACAATTTTAAGGGGAACCAACTATATTTAAACCGTCGCTGAAATTCTTTAAATTCGGCCACTGTACAATTAAAACTGGTATGGAATTGTAACTTGTAAACAATTTAATACGGTTTGGTACTGCAACCTGTAAACAATTCAAAACCTGTTTGATACTGCAACCTGTAAACAATGGGATACACCATACTAAAACCCGTAACAAGCCAAGCCAAACTGTGAACAAGTGTGAACAATTGATTTGGTAAAATAACAACAATATGCAGTGATAAACTAAATAACCCGAAACAATGTTAATTAATTGAAGACTTAAAGGCGTCTTTGCCTTGAGGAACAGGTTTTTAGCAAAAATAAAAACCCGGACTCAACCTTATGAAGAAACGAATCTTTTCCATTAAGAAAGAAAGTATCAGGTCTCCAGATTCTTGAGAGAAACTGCCAGTTCATGGGGAGTTCATCCAACCCTGTCCCTGTACTGTTGAACTTCAACCTAAAAATAAAGGGAATGTTACAGTGTATGGAGTAAATTCCTACTCCAGAACAATTTCTGGCAACGTATCTATCCAGGTACAGCTCAGTGACTATTAACGTCACCACACGAAGACGATCAATGATCTATCAACGCCACTACCACTGGATGCCATCTTGTTAGCTATCGATATCAATGGACACATTTAACTATAGATGAACAATATACAGCGTAATTTCTCTATAATTGCTACGTGTACACGTACTTTCACTACGGATAGATAAAATTAGACAGATTAGATAAAAATGAACAAAAGTACCGAACTAGATTAGACGAGGTGTTCGTTTTTTACAGAAAATATACAGGAATGTATTATATTTCAGAGATTAAAGAAATTGGTATGGTCTGAGATGGGAATTTATGGGAGTAGTTAAACATTATAGTTTACCTTGAATCTATCCAGAATTGTCTAAAGTAGCAATCCAGGGTAAATACTTGTCTACTCTCATCCACAGGCCCCATTGATCTTATCATTAGGTTTACTTCAACCTAGAATAGTTCTACCTAGAATACTTCAGCCTAGAACACTTTAACCTAAAATAATTCAATCTAGAATACTTTATCCTAGAATACTTCTACCTAGAATACTTCAACCTAGAATACCTCAACCTAGAATATTTCTACCTAGAACACTTTAACCTAGAATGCTTCAACCTAGAATACTTCAACCTAGAATATTTCTACCTAGAATATTTCTACCTAGAATATTTCTACCTAGAATATTTCTATCAAGATTATTTCTACCTAGAACACTTCATCCTAGAAGATTTCAACCTAGAATACTTCAACCTAGGATACTTCAACCTAGAACACTTTAACCTAGAATACTTCAACTTAGAATACTTCAACCTAGAATACCTCAACCTAGAATACTTCAACCTAGAATACATCATCCTAGAATACTTCAACCTAGAATACATCATCCTAGAATACTTCATCATACTTCATTTTAAAATACTTCAACCATGCATTCTTTAACCTAGAATACTTTAACCTAGAATACTTCATCATAGAATACATTAACCTAGAAAACTCCAACCTAAAATACTTCAACCTAGAATACTTCAACATAGAAAACTTAAATCTAGAATAAATCAACCTAAAATACTTTAACCCAGAATACTTAATCCTAGAACACTTCATCCTATAATACTTCAACCTAGAATACTTAAACCCAGAATTCTTAATCCTAGAATACTTCATCCTAGAATACTTCAACCTAGAATACGTCAACCTAGAATACTTTTACCTAGAATATTTCAACCTAGAATACTTCAACCTAGAATACTTTAACCCAGAATACTTTAACCTAGAATTCTATAACCTAGAATACTTTAACCCAGAATACTTTAGCCTAGAATTCTATAACCCAGAATACTTTAACCTAGAATACTTTAACCTAGAATCATAGAGAATAGAATATATATTAGAGAGGAATTTAAAGAATCTCTCGGTATACATTTTTTCAGTCCCTTTCAGCCTGAAAGGGTGTTCAAAATACAAATCATGTATTTGTTCACAAATTATATCCAGTAGAGTACATTAATACAGTGTGTTCCCTAGACTATTCATTTCAATTTCGAATTTTTTGAATCTGTTAAATAGACTTTATAATGAATTAGGTGAATTAGGTTATAACGGAAAATCATCGTTTGTAAAGTGAAAGGCATAGAGTCTATGTGAAATGATCATTGGTCAATTATGAAACCAGCTTATTTCATAATTTGTTTTTCTTTTAACATTAATTTTAGATTTTCTATAAAATGATATTCCAGGGCCCAAAAGGTTTTATAGCATAAATATGTGAAGTACACCTGCAGTATGGAAACAGTACAACAAAATCGCCGTTTTACACTTTTTTCTAGTAAATTCTCCTCTAATATATATTCTATTCTCTTTGCCTAGAATTCTACAACCTAGAATACTTTAATTTAGAATAATTCAACCTAGAATACTTTAATCCTAGTAAACTTCAACCTAGCATGTTTCAACCAAGAATACTGCAAACTAGAATAATTCAACATTGAATACTTCAACCTGGAATACTTCAACCTAGAATTCTACAGCCTAAAATACTTCAACCTAGAATTCTACAACCTAGAATACTTCAACCTAGAATTCTACAACTTAAAATATTTCAACCTAGAATACTTAAACCTAGAATTCTAAAATCTAGAATACTTCAACCTAGAATTCTACAACCTAAAATACTTCAACCTAGAATACTTCAACCTAGAATACTTCAACCTAGATTACTTCGTCCTAGAATACTTCAACCTTGAATACTTCAACCCAGAATATTTCATCCTAGAATATTTCAACCTAGAATACTTTAACCTAGAATACTTCAACCTAGAATACTTCAACCTAGAATACTTTAATCTAAAATTCTTTAATCTACAATACCAACTTAGAATTCAGCCTAGAATACTTTATTCTACAATACCAACCTAGAATACTTCAGCCTAGAATACTTTAATCAACAATACCAACCTTGATTAATTCAACCTAGAATAATTCAGCCTAGAATACTTTAATCTACAATACCAACCTTGAATACTTCTACCTAGAATTTTTCAACCTAGAAGAATTAAAAATATTTGAAATTATTTAGCTTACATTAGTTGAGGGTCCTTGATGATTAGGCCGAAGTTTATAATCATAATTTCTATTCGTGAACAACTCATCTAGCGTTCGGGTAACAACTAAAAAAATTAAATAGTTTAAAATAATTTTTTTGTTTTAGTTTTTTTTAATATAAAATCGTTGGTAAACTCTATGATGTGCCATTCTCATCCTTATTATTTGGGAAATACAAAATAGACGTGTTACGTTAACCAATGTTGAGATTTTAACAGTTAATCGGTATAATTTAAACACCCTAGGTTTCTTTCTGACTGTGGATGGAGTATCTATGTTCCACACTCTGTTACAGCAAATTTGTCTGTCTTAATAGATATATTTTTTACAAAGAAAGAATAGTTTGAGCTTTACAACTTGGCAACAAAAAAACAGACAAGAATATTGGGAAATATATTTTCATAACGTAAGTTTGATTATTTTATATTTTTAATTGATAATTATTTTCCAGGCCCAACTACTGGCTGAACAGACAATCCTGACGAAAAAGCATAAGTAATAATATTAATAGTAATAATAATAATAAAATAGTGATAATGATAATAATAAAAATAATAATAATAATAATAATAATAATAATAATAAGAAGAAGAAGAACAAGAAGAAAAAGAAGAAAAACAACATGCAGGTAGATAACAACATGCAGGTATATATCAACATGCAGGAAAAAAAACATGCTCGTACATAACAATATGCAGGTACATAACAACATGCAGGTACATAAAAAATACATAAAGGAAGATAACAACATACATGCAGGTAAATAACAACATCCAGGTACATAACAACATGCAGGTACATGACAACATGCAGGTACATAACATCCAGGAACAGAACAACATACATGCAGGTAGATAACAACATGCAGGTACATAACATCCAGGTACAGAACAACATACATGCAGGTAGATAACAACATGCAGGTACATAACATCCAGGAACAGAACAACATACATGCAGGTAGATAACAACATGTAGGTACATAACAACATGCAACAAGTAATAGTAATGGTAATAGTAATAATAATATATTCAATCATATAGAACAGCTCTGTGGCAACGGAAACAGTCAAGGATCTGGAGCATAATCTACAATTTTGTTTTAATTATAATCACAATTTATTTAATTACTATAATGTGTTTATGAATAATTTTTTTGATTAAATGTATTTGTTTTTTAGATGGCAACCCTGGGGGCTGCCTTAAGTAGCATCTTTAAGACATGGCGTCCTGTCTGGTATTTCACAAGTCGTTGTCAAGTCACAGTCAAAGTCGTACACAAAATTTTTTTTTGAGGGGACAATTGAAAAAAAAAGTTTTGAGGGGGGAACCCTGTGTATGCCCTTGACAGCGACTTGACAGCAACTTGTGAAGACCCAGTCAGGGCATCCTTAAAATGTTTTCTGAGGACGCCCTCAGATCCTCTTAGTGACGACGCCCTCAGGATGTCTTTGTAAAGACAACCTTAGGACGTCCTAGTGAAGACCTGCGGCTGCAGCTGCGGCAACAACATGTAGTGCCGCTACAGACATGCAGACACCCAAACAGAAAGAACCCCCACAGAGAGAAATGCTCATTAGTAACCCAATACCCCAGTTTTTGAACGGCGTCCCAAAGGATGTCTTTTCGGTCTAAGAAAGGCACTTTTTCTCTCTCTTTTTAGAGGACTTCAGATGTCCTATCCTAGCAACTTCAAGTCAAATCAAGACTTAGTATGGATGTCTCAGGTTCTTACTGGGGGTAACATGTTGATTTGTTTTCTCTTTTTAATAGATCTTTAAAATAAAACTTATGTGAAACTTTCTTCCTGCTTTCATGAACATTTTAAAATATTTCACCTTTTGCAAGATGTGAATTAGGGATATTTCTCCTGAACCTTGAACCTGGCGTATTCTCCACCCTTGGTTCAAACCCAACCTGCTTCTCCTCCCTTGGTTCAAACCCAACCTGCTTCTCCTCCCCTGGTTCAACCTCAACCTGATTCTCCTCCCCTGGTTCAACCTCAACCTGGTTCTCCTCCCCTGGTTCAACCTCAACCTGCTTCTCCTCCCCTGGTTCAACCTCAACCTGGTTCTCCGAACCATCACAGTAATCTCCAAACTCATTACATCCTAATCCTAAACAATAATTAAATTGAAATAAAACGGAATCGCAAATGCGACAACTTTTTCTTTCTCTACGCATATTCTCTTTTTCATTTTCTTTTAAACATTGTAAATTGTGAACCTTATTAAATAATTTTATCTAATATTTATATATTTATATAATTTAAAATTATCCAATAATATTCAAATACATGCGTTTTTTCCTTTCTTTGTGTAAAAAACCGGATCTGGTTTTAATCCTGCTAGCTGAGACTTTATTAAACGTCTTGCTTTATCAATGCTTAATATTATTCTTGAAAAGAATGTACAATATTACTTTACTAAAGGGAAACTCCTTTTAGAGGGTCATAACCGATTCACGACGATACCCTTCAAATCTGTATTTGATCTAAAAATGTGTTAGATGTCATAGTTTTATATAACTTGAAACGTAAATAATTCTGCCAATTTCCTCCGGTTCTTCTGCAGCAGAAAATTGGACGTAACTTTTATTGAGAACTAGAGTTGAAAATAATACAGAACATCATGGATAGCTCATTCATTCTTTTTTAGAAGGGTACCATTGTGAATCCGGCACGCAACTTAATAAATGGAGAAATACCAGAACTATCTCTACAATAATAAAAGTATTAATGAAAATATTAATAGACATGGTTGCCAGGAGTCTATATAGATCATCCTCGGATAGAATATTCTCAGTGGTGGCTGAAGGGTGGGGGGTACGTTCCCCCCCCCCTTCGAAAATGATTGGCGGAAAAAGAATCTAGCCTCTAAGTTTTTATTTTTAAGAAAAGATTAAAAAAATCACATTTTAGAAAATCACATTTTTACCTCTTTCATGGTTTTGACATAAAAATGAGCAAATTCACAGTATAAAATTCAAGGTGGGGGGAGGGGGAAATTTCCACTCCCCCCTTTTTGGAAATTATCGTAAGGCGCCCCTGAATATTCTTCTAGAGCATATTGTCTAAAAACTTTTAGAATATATTGTCTAAAACTTCTGGAATATGTTGTCAGAGAATTTCTAGAATATATTGTCAGAGAATTTCTAGAATATATTGTCAGAAAACTTCTAGAATATCTTGTCAGAAACCTTCTAGAATATACTGTCAGAGAATTTCTAGAATATATTGTCAGAAAACTTCTAGAATATATCGTCTGAAAAGTTCTACAATATATCGTCAGAAAACTTCTAGAATATATCGTCAGAAAACTTCTAGAATATATTGTCAGAAAACTTCTAGAATATATCGGTAGAAAAATTTCTAGAATATATTGTCAGAAAACTTCTAGAATATATCGTCAGAAAACTTCTAGAATATATTGTCAGAAAACTTCTAGAATATATCGTCAGAAAACTTCTAGAATATATTGTCAGAAAACTTCTAGAATATATCGTCAGAAAACTTCTAGAATATATTGTCAGAAAACTTCTAGAATATATCGTCAGAAAACTTCTAGAATATATTGTCAGAAAACTTCTAGAATATATCGTCAGAAAACTTCTAGAATATATTGTCAGAAAACTTCTAGAATATATCGTCAGAAAACTTCTAGAATATATTGTCAGAAAACTTCTAGAATATATCGTCAGAAAACTTCTAGAATATATTGTCAGAAAACTTCTAGAATATATTGTCAGAAAACTTCTATAATATCTTGTCAGAAACCTTCTAGAATATACTGTCAGAGAATTTCTAGAATATATTGTCAGAAAACTTCTAGAATATATCGTCTGAAAACTTCTACAATATATCGTCAGAAAACTTCTAGAATATATCGTCAGAAAACTTCTAGAATATATTGTCAGAAAACTTCTAGAATATATCGTCAGAAAAATTTCTAGAATATATTGTCAGAAAACTTCTAGAATATATCGACTGAAAACTTCTAGAATATATCGTCTGAAAACTTCTAGAATATATCGTCAGAAAACTTCTAGAATATATCGTATGAGAAAGTATTATTCAATAATACTCCTTGTTCTTGTATTATATAATATATATTCATGATATTCAACAGTATAATATAATTTTTTCCTAAGCTCTGTTATTAGTTAATCCTAACATTATTTATATTAAAAAAGTTAAACTTTCATGGAAATTTTTTTTCCAAATTTAGTCAAAATGGACTTCCTTGTGTTTTTTCTTATCATAAATGTTCTTTTAGTTTTAAACCTGGTTCAATGATAAATATTGTCAGGAACAACCATAGCATCTCTTTGCTTATACTGCAGAACTGTAGAACTGTAGAACTGTAGAACTGTAGAACTGTGGAACTGTGGAACTGTAGAACTGTAGAACTGTAGAACTGTAGAACTGTAGAACTGTAGAACTGTAGAACTGTAGAACTGTTGAACTGTAGAACTGTAGAACTGTAGAACTGTAGAACTGTAGAACTGTAGAACTGTTGAACCGTAAAACTGTAGAACTGTAGAACTGTAGAACTGTTGAACTGTAGAACTGTAGAACTGTAAAACTTTAGAACTATAGAACTGGAGAACTGTAGAACTGTAGAATGATTGCTATGGTATTGTCTATGAGCTAGATATTGGATATTTGAAGAAAAGTATTGAGGATTATGGATAAAATATAAAAATTATTTGAGGAAAGGGTGAAATAAAAATGATACAGAAGAACTCTTCCATCTATAAGTCAGGTTTAATAATACTTTGTGTTGTAAGAATTTAAAGAATTGTAATGCTTTTTAATTTAGAATAACTCTTCTGATTGAATTCCTTTATATTACTAGATTCATTAATTTATCTAGGTTTTTATTCTTGAATTAACAATTAACAATAAACAATTTATTTCAGAACATTAGAATTTATGAAAATGTTTATATCTGATGAATTTTGAAAGTGCTCATGATTTGATCAAAGATATTTTCTTCTCAACATGAATTTCGCAAGATTCACTTTAAAAGAAAAACATTGTTTTGTCCTAACTTTATCTTTTGGCTTAAAAATTAAAACTTTTAAATAATTTTTGTTGAAAATAGTCAGGGTTTAAATGTCAAGTAATTAAAAAAAGGTTTAAGAAATAAGACAGGTTTCCAAATGTAATATTCTGTGTTGCAACGGAAAGTTTCCAAACAGAAAGTTGTGAAAATAGCGTGCAATACCTGATTTCAGATAAAGAAATTAGTTTACAGGAACTAGTATACCAATACACTAACAAGTTCTAGTACACAAGTACAATAGTACACTATTACACTAGTACACCACCACACTAACTAGTTCTAGTACACAAGTACACTAGTACACCTGGACATACACCAGTATACTAACAAGTTCTAGTATACAAGTACAAGAGTACACAAGTACACTAACTACCAACTAGTTCTAGTACACAAGTACACTAGTAAACTAGTTCATCAGTTCACCAGTACACTAGCAAGTTCTGTGTAAAAGTACAATAGTACACTAGATCACAAGTACACTAGTACACTAGTACTCTAGTAGTTTACATTAGTACTCAAGTACATTATAATACACTAGTATGATAATACACAAGTACACAAGTACACAACTACACAACTACATGACTACACAACTACATAACTACACAAATACACTAGTACACTATAGTACACTAGAACAACAGTTCACTAGTAAACTAATAAACTAGTAAACTAGTAAAATAGCACAATAGTACAATAACACAATAGTACAATAGTGCAATAGTACAGTAACACACCAGTACACTAGTACACCTATATGATCTTCATTGCAGTGATGCAAGTTTGGATATAAATATCAGCAAAAAATTTGTCAAAAAACGGTTCTTAGCATTTTATCTAGTCACCGCGATACACTTTGTCAAACATTGCAAACCTTAACTAGTATTTAGTACTTTACTGCACTCGGGCATATGTACTGTAGAACAGTACATTGTTGAATCAGTGTACAGCACAGTAATATACGTACGTTGCATCCGCTGTTTAACAATAGTACATCTATTGTTATGGCCTTGGGTATAAGACGTTTAAAACCATTTTCTCCTTATGTGCGAAACAGAAAAATAAATTAAGTAGCGATCAATATTGAATTTAATTCGATATCAGCCTATACCCATTTTTATTTTTGCAAAGACTCCCTTTATTACGACATCGTATTTCATCATGTTAAAATATTAAATATTGAGTATAATTGTGATTATATTGCTTGTATTAGTTAATGGGCGTGACAAAGAACAAATAAAGACATGTTTACTAAAAGTTTTGATTGTTTATCTAGAGTAAACTTTACTTCTCTTCTAATGGAATTCTCAGGAACTTCTTAATGGAAGACAATTATAACTTCCATATAAGGTTCTCACCCCCAACAAGTAATAGTNATAACAGATTTCTCATTCTACATTATCAAACCATAGCGATAACAGATTTCTCATTCTACATTATCAAACCATAACAATAACATATTTCTCATTCTACATTATCAAACCATAGCAATAACAGATGTTCTCTCATGTTAAAGGCTAATTTGTGATTTTGAACAGGCTTTTCTTTATTTTATTGAGATTGTGCCCCCTGGTCGTTTGTTCAATATTTGACTATTGGGTTCAGATATCTGGAAATAAATGGATAAAATACACTAAATATTCCCTAAGCCATCCCTCTCTTTTACGTCTAACTGTCTAATTCTTAGTATATTTGATGATTTTTAACTGTATAGAGGTTCAAAGCTCAGCTAGTAAAAATCCCTGTTTCCCAATTTTTGTAAAAATTATCAGAAATCTAAAACATTTTTTTTCGCCAAAAATTGTAATTGGTTATTTATTACTATTATCCTGGCAACTAAAAGAAATTTAAAACATGTTTGAACAGTGGAAACCCTGTTAAAGTTGAGTAGTTATTGACGATTA